GAGTTGAATGAAATTTTTATCCTTAGGTGGTCCGTTTAGTACTTTAAAATGCCTTCCAACATACCGACAAGCTCCCGTCTTGGAAATTTCTTGTAAAATCGCGGTGACGTACTTACAGGAGTGTTGATGGTCACTAAGAGTCCATGTCATGAGCGTAACATAATTTGTGTAGTTACGTTACGTCCATCCAATTCTAATTAAAAATAACAAATCTACCAGGATCGCGTAAAGAATTCTAAAATCACATGTACATTGTACCAGGCATAGAGCTCACCAAATTTCATTAAGTATGCCACTGGTATATTTGCTACAGTAGGTCAAATGCATCGCTGAGAATTTCGAATAAATAAAGAGATTATTTTGAATATCAACTATCTCGACTGCTGTGTCAGTCGTCCGGGCCATTCGAGGCGTCCGAACTGGCTAGTTTTTTGCTTGAACGATTTTTGACTCCAGTGCAATAGTAAAATACTGGGATAGTGCATCGCATTAATTTATGATTCAGATAACTTTGTTCAATATTTGTGGATTATATTTGCCCTCATTTATTTTGTATTATATCTCCGCTATACGCTATACATACTGGAAATTGTTCAAAATCCGATGTTTTACATTTGTTTTCATGGGTAACAGTATACATCCATCCATATAATTCTAATTACAACCAACGAAACTACTATAATTAATCAAAAAAACTGAAATTTGCGATTGTACAATAGCTTAGCAGTAGTGGGGTCTGTTAGAGTATTCGAGTGGACTGTATAATGGCTGATTCAAGAATGAAATGCGGTTGTCGCCTACCTTTGATCCGGTGTTCTGTCTAATTCTGGTTCGTATTGCTGACGTAGCGGTGATGCAGGAGCGCGAAGATTGCGGGTGTGGGAGCGGTTCTGACTCTATGCGGTTGCTGCGTATATGCGGTTTCTGATTATATGCGGTTGCTACATAGACACGTGGTCTCACTGTATGCGGTTGCGGGTATATATGTTCTCACGGTATGCGGGTTGCGGCGTGTCTGCGTGGTCTCACTGTGAGCTAGTATATCTCTTCATTTTATTGTCCTAGCAGCGCACGCGCGCGGGGTAGGCAAGCGACAACTCATACTCGCCTTGAAATATAGCCAACCAAACATCCCTAACAGTGTTCGAAACCACTTCCAACATCAAACGAAAAAAGACAATTTTACAGAGATACTGTATTCGTCATCCACGACCCTGAACAGACAAGTTTATGTCTGTCACCCGAAACCACCCACAGTCAGGTCAGTGTTAGGAGAACCGTGCGCTGCATCACGTCAAACGTTTGCGGAAACATGGCTTTTTGGAAACCATTCGAGACGGACGGTGTTGAAAATATTATAGAACCGACTTCTGTCGATGAGAAAAGATAGACTTACATGTACAGTGCCAAAGAGTCATTTTAAATATGTATGAATGTTTGAAGAAAGAAAATGTGGAAAATCCGAAATATAAAATAATTAACCGGATACATCAGCTTACTAAAATATCGGAATCATCAATTCGTCGAATTATAAAAAAGAGGATGTCACAGATCACAACATGAAACGAAAACAAAGGAAAGACAAGGTCAAAAATATTGATGAAGGCGATAAAATAGTTATTCGTAATATTATTTATACTTTCTATAAGGAAAACTTAGTGTCAACCCTGGAAATGATTAAAAAAAATTAGATTATCAGGATTGCAGATAACATTCCTTGGAAACATTACGGCTATCTTATTGAGTTGTAGATTCAAGCAAAAAAATTGGCATTCGAATGGTAATCATGGAATCAAGGCGCATAGTGCAACTAAGATTATTTAAGTACAATATTAGAAAATATCGTGAGCAAAACAGACCAATAATATATCTGGATGAAACTTGGTTCGACACTCATGACACTGTTCGATATGGTTTGGTAGACGAATACCAGAATTGCACCTTGAATTCTCCTTGTTCAAGGGGGAACCGTATTATTATTCTCCATGCTGGAAGCAAAGATAGCTTTGTACCTAATGCCCTATTATTATCAGCAAAAAATATAGCACAATTTTCTGCTGATTACCATCAGGACATGACCGCAGACTTGTTTGGAAAACGGTTTATACCAAATATCCCAGCAAATGCTCATGGACCATTCAAGCCTACGCTACGGTGATCGCCAACGTCGGATGATTCTGATACAGCACATGATGAAGAATGTAGAACTCGTACTTTACTGATTATGTTTACATTATGCTACCGCTATAGCAGTCTGAAGAACCACCCTAAGCTATTTATCACTCAACAATCACCACAGAAATATATTCATATTGCGTTTTTAAATACAAAACCAGTCGTTTACAAATAAATCTACTTCGGTATTGAACCTTATTTTTCTGTATAAAATCTGACGCATATGGCAGATATATATTCCTTTGAGGTGTCGGCCGCTCTGGTTTTTATGAGTTTTCAACTAGAATTGGAAATACTACACCAATTTCATATCTATCTGCCCCATTCATCATGTATCTATCTGTCTCTCTTTGGTCCATCTTTGGACATATACCAAAATGAATTTATTTGAATAAAATTTGTTGTACATAAGCAAGATGAGGTACTGATTGAATTTTGAACTTAAAATAGTTGCTTTGTTGTACACACCTATCCCACGAAGATTCAACGGGCGGAAGGTCTTGAGATCTAGGAGTCCAAAGAAGGAGGCTGACTTGAGGGTTATTGAGACAGTTTATTGTAATCCATCAATATGGAGATGGTCATTATCTTATTAGAAAGTAGTTTTCAAGCATTTGGTGTAATGGCAAAAAATGAAGTTTCAGTATTTCCTGGATATACCGTTGCGCCGTCATAGCTCCTCTAACATAAACTAGAAGTGACTTAGCACTATATCTGATTGCGACCTAAACCGTAAATGCTACAGTACGGTGCACGTGACGTTCAACTCAAGTTATAAATTCTTGGAATTCGGCCAACGTCAATATTTATTAGAACGTTTCGGATATTTAAAACGCCATCTTCGGGTTCTTGTTATTTTTAGTGGGTGGAAAATAATCACATTCTTGCCAAATAACTGTTGGCACTTTGATTGTAGGTCAAGTCTGGCAGAATTAGCAATATTTTTCACCAACTAATGTACCTAAAGATGGTGTTTAAAGTCGCTGAAACGTTGTATTTTTTAATATGTAAATGTTTTAGATTGACCTAAATCCAAGAATTTAATACGTGACGTGACGTTCAACTAAAAACTTTATATTACGTCTTGCTTGTGCCCGTCTATGATGCATTTCTAAACAGAACCAAGATCGTCACTAAAAACAACGTTATACCATTCATCATCCCAAACTCTTCGGTCTCAGTTCTGTTTTATAGATCCATCATAAGTCTTCGGTCGGGAGCTGTTTTGGAGAAAGACATGATGTAAATCTTTTAGTTGAACGTCATTTGCGCCACACTGTAGGAGTCACGGTTTGAGGTGCCACTATATATGGAGTTAAGTCACCTCTAGTTTGAATCAGGAGAGATATGACAGCATAAGGGTACATCCGGAAAAGAAAGAAAATCTTTTATCCTCTGTGTTCTATTTCCTTCGTCACTGGGTATATTGGAGGAAATTATTAAAAATTCATCAGTATCTGGAATTTGAACCAAGGCTCATTTCTCGGGTAAAGCGTTGCGTAGATCATGTATCTATTTTTCGCTGGTATCAATTTGATGCATCGAAAGTCTCATTTTTCTTCTCCATATAGTAATTCGGAGCACTTAGTCATTTCTTAATAGTTATATTCGAACTCAGCATTTCAAGCTACCCCAGTCTACCGTTCAGTTGTTGTAACAGGATATGCAAACAAGGATTTTGTCTTATGGTCATTGCTAAAACTGACATAACGACAACTTGGGTTTGAATCCCGTTGCTAATTTTCCATTTATTTCAATTTTCCCTACGCCTCTGGTACAGCACCATGAATATTTATAGGCTTCCAGCCGTAATTCGAATAATTTGTCACCGTTGAGGAATACCAGCACGCTGCAACTACCGTAATTTATTTAAAACAATTACAGGGTTTTTTTGTTTTTAGCGGGCAGCGCGAACCAGTCCAACAGTTCCAAGCTAGCTCCAGGCTATGCCAAGTGATAGGCCATACCCACAACCAAAGCTTAAAGACTGCGAATAGTTGGACCCTATCGGAAATTCTCCCATGTTTATATCACTTGAGCACTGCCTACAACCCCCTAGGTATCATAGCAGTTTTAGCAGTGATGTGACGAATAGTCGCATTTTTTATTATATTCGCATTCGCATCCTCAATATTTTGCGAATATGAGTATCAGAAAGAAGAGAATATGAAAATAATACTAACTGCTTAAATAAAATAAGAAGTATCTGTTTATTTTGTACTTACTAGAAAGGCATGTTGTAACAGACAAACAAAAACTTTATTCTCCACATATCTTTTTCTTGGTGTTATAAACAATCAATCGGTATTTCTCATTAGAAAACATAAGATTCGTTTTGTTAGTGAAAGTGGACAGTCCAAACAGCGATGAGGCTGTCAAACTAGTGAGTGTCTCACGTCAGGGTAAAAAAAGAATACCTGAGCTAACCTTGATCAGAGCTTAACATAAAAAATTAAATTTATCCAGTTTATCAAGACAAAGTATTTTGGCACAAAAATATGATTGTAAGCAAAGATAAAAAGCTCACAAATTCAATTCGATGAATTTTGCACGTAAACAAAATATACTTAACTGAAACGAAACGAATCCAGCTGTAATCATGGAACAACAACTTCGAACAAACGAAAACGTAATCCTTTTTACTTTTATCAGTCTTCAATTATAAACGTTGTACAAATCAAAAATACAAATAGAGACGACAATCGTTTTCTTAAACTTGTTGTAGAAAAGAAATGTTTTTACAACAAATACATAATCTGCGCACCCACTTTACAAAAAAGCAGGTTTTCATTGAGATAAATGTGTAAGAATCTTCGAAAATATCCATTAATTAACTTCTCAATGAAAAACTTCCATTTAAGACGCCCCTGGTTTGACCGCTGGGTGACCAAACTATTAGTATTCTGTATACTTTGCTCGTTGTGCCTACTGGCCACTTTTTGTCTTCCCCAGGAATGCGTAAACAGCAGCAGATGGTCTTCATGAGCCTGTGGGTGTAATATAATTGTTGGAATGAGTATAATAGACATATATTACCTATCCCTACAATCTAGTTATAGTACGTTTGAGTTGTGTGAAAAATGACAGACCTCTAACAATAGTAGAAGCTTCTGTATGTTCAGCAGGTTTCATACAGTTCTAGTAAAATAAAGTTTACTTCCATTCTTTCACACCCTTTTCAAATATGGTACAACTTTGGTATGATCCTTCACGACACTACTCCAGCTGCTCAGTTCTGTATCACAATGACATCTTTAACGCTGCGATATTCAGGGCTCTAAGCTTTGACATAAAAGGAGTTTGAATATATAAAGCTATCACTTTGAATACTCAATGAAAATCATAAAAATCTTTGGATAATTTTATCTAGAATGAGAAAATATTCCTTTCCCGATGGAGTCTAAACTAAACTATCGGATTCAATAGATTAGAAGGAAACAGGCCTATAAGTTTATAATGCATTTTGTTGGTCTAAACAGAGAACAAATAGAACCTCTAAAGCAGTCCTTGGATTACACAAGTGAGATTTATTATCAAACTCGCTGATTATCAGCTGTTAGAAAACTCCTTTTAGATCGAGCAACGCTCAGCTATGATAATAGCTTTCGCTCCAAGAAACGAGTTAAACATCTTAAATCTCTGTCTATTTACCAAAGTTGGCTATGAGCGCATCACATTTTTTCCTCTACGAAGTGCGTATATCGGAGATTGCAAGAAACTGAGGAATTCTCTCAAAGGTATCGGCGGTCACCATGCCGTATTAGCCTGAGATCACATGCGAAATATTTCTTATCCTAACTGAAATCGTCAAAAAACAGAACTCTTAAAGAGGCGTCAAGTAGGATGACTCTGCACTTCCCACGCAACGCTGTCATCTGATCATAAAGGAATTCTTCGGCACGTCTACAAGTATACAGGGCATCCTCTAAGTTGGAACTGCCCTTTATAGAGCGTATATGTCACGCAATAATAATGAAGTTTTTCTAGTAGCACATTTACTAAAGTCTTAAGATTAGCGAGATATTAAGTTTCTAAGAAGTCTAAATAAGTCTCCCTCCACTCTTATGTCGTAAGTTATGATGCTTTGTGGTACTATGACTATGTATGTTAGTACCCAAATCAGGCGCAGCGCGGTAATCCTAGTTTACAAACAAACCGAATTTGAAAACCGAGATTGGCAGATTCCTATAGCAATAACCTAGTTATCGATTTAATGTTGATTTACTGTTAGTGCCTGCACGATCCTATTGATACTCCGCGAGTGTTTTTGAGTATTCAAAACGTCGCCGTCGTCCTTGATATTTCTATCAGAGATCCGTAGGTTTGTTCGTACCAAAACCGTCTGGGTGGACACAGTAGTCTTAGACTAGATAGCCTCAAATGTTACAAATTTAGAAATAAGTAAAGAAACTCGTGCGACAACTTTAATCAGTAATTACAAACAAAACATGTGACAGAGAAGTACTTGAAGTGCCGTACCAAATAAGTAGTGAGTATCTTTATTCTTCTTCTTTACGTCTTCGATGCTGCTTTACCGCAAAATAACTAAACATTAAATGGATCTAATAAGTCAAACAAGCTCATACAGTTAGTCCATTATTCCCACCCATTTGACAATGTTGCGATCTAGACATTTCTCCCCTTACCCCTTCAATTGACAAGTTTACCATTTTTTGTCATTAGCTCAAATGGAATTTTAATAAAAATGAAACAAGAATGTGAAAAAATTATTAATTTATCTCTAAAAACAAAAAAGCTACAACCTATCAAAGTTGCGCCCCGCGAGAATATTTTCATTCCGTCTGAACGCGACGCGTGACGTCACACTTCACTATTCAGTTGGGACGGCAGCGGCCGACACTAGCCCGGGCCCACTCAATTTCCTAAACACACATCATATAGGTGTAGGTACACATACAGCGGGAACACGTGGTAGTCTAAACGTCTTCCACGCCAATTTGTTTAACTGGTTGACTGTATAGCCCATCGGTTATGAGCGAAATAACAAAACAAGGTTGTTATAAATACTGTATCGTTCCAAAATGTACAAGCACAACAATTACAACCCCTAATAAAAAACAATTCTACGTAACCTCACATGAAAATATTGATTGTACCAAAAAGTACAACATATGTCTGTGAAGACCACTTTGATGTGAGTAATTTCGTTATTTAAATCTTTCGCTTTAATAAACTTAACACTAGTGCCAACTTTAGGTAGCGCCGGTTTCATCCAGTAACATTCTACTGAAGTACTTGCAGGTTCCTTGCTTACTTTCCAAAGCCAGATCAAACACGTTATTGTGCATTTTACAATGCATTTAGTACCTTCACGAACATAACCAACAGCATCTTCACGACACGAATATCTACCGGCCCAGAAAAATATGGAGTCATGTTCGCAAATTTGTAATATTAGGCATCAACACTAATTTGTTTAAAACCTCAGTAGGGTATCGCACATTTTCCAGCTAGTTGTGATAGTGTAGCAGTAGGCATAAATACTTACTCCCAAAGTTTCACACCTTTTATTTCCGCGCTTGTGTATGATGGATTTGAAGAAATAAATTTCATCACTGCATAAATGTCAATGTTGGGCGAATTGTCACTCAACCCTTTTACAAATCCGGCTTCCATAATGGTACGAACTTACGCAGTACTCAATAGTTATCAACTAGAAACCACGTGGCTGAGCGCACAGGTGTGTCTTATGACTCGTCTATAGACTAATGACTAAATGCACAGACGCTGTCGGTACGCTTGGCACTAGTGAAGTGAGACGTCAGACGCGAACCGACCACAGCAATGATTTCGCGCTATAATACGCCAAATTTTAAGTATTAATTTCTCTGTCATTTATGGACCAATTTCAATAATTTTTTAACTGGTTGATTACATTTCATCTATGTTTTGCTGATATGTCATTACTTATGCGATTCTGCACATCACGAAACTTCTCTATTATCCCAGGTGACGAAAAATGACTTGATGTTCCAACTGAACATTAAAACCGGGTCTGGGTTTCCGAAATCGTCGACTGGAAACAGAACGACATTTTTTCTGTTGTTCAGAGAAACAGCTTTAATGTAAACCGAAGCCAGTCACAGCTAAATGGTATATAGAAACTTGTTTGTTACAACTGTTTGCAGCCCAGAAAATTTTTTAGGCCTAGTTTGCCGTTGTGCTCGTTTGGTCGATAATCTTTAATCCAATTGTCGGATCACTCACTTTATAGCTCCGACTTAACCCCATACGATTACTGCAACCGGAGCTGGGATACCTGTGATTCTATTTAGAATGAGTATTGGAAGCACTGACCTTACAATTGGTTCTTGTATATGGTGTAGTGTATTCAATATGACAAATTATTTTGTAAAATCAATAAACTAACTTGATCCAATCAGTCTATTGTAATACATGTTCGTATATAACCTTTTCCTCAGAAGGGCTAATTTGTGTTGTTTATGAACTGACGTAGGAAGCGTAGAGTCGACCTACTTGCCGTCATTCTTTCGTGTAAACAAAATTATGCCGTAATTCACTTCCTTTTATTAATCTATCTTTTTAACGCTTAAATATTCATGGAGTGGTTGAGCTTTTGAAGGTTCGAGAAGCCTGCATTGAGGATCCATTTTTGCTAAACGGAAGCTTGGACTGAAACAGAAGACTTCAGTCTGTATTGAATGACTTAACCCCATACGATTACTGCAACCGGAGCTGGGATACCTGTGATTCTATTTAGAATGAGTATTGGAAGCACTGACCTTACAATTGGTTCTTGTATATGGTGTAGTGTATTCAATATGACAAATTATTTTGTAAAATCAATAAACTAACTTGATCCAATCAGTCTATTGTAATACATGTTCGTATATAACCTTTTCCTCAGAAGGGCTAATTTGTGTTGTTTATGAACTGACGTAGGAAGCGTAGAGTCGACCTAATTGACGTCATTCTTTCGTGTAACAAAATTATGCCGTAATTCACTTCCTTTTATTAATCTATCTTTTCAACGCTTAAATATTCATGGAGTGGTTGAGCTTTTGAAGGTTCGAGAAGCCTGCATTGAGGATCAATTTTTGCTAAACGGAAGCCTGGACTGAAACAGAAGACTTCAGTCTGTATTGAATGTCACCGTGCCGTATCAATTCCTTTTCCTGCTTCGGGAGCTTTTTTCACACACTCAGGTTCTAATTGCCATCTCACGTAACTCTAACCGTTATATCGAGTGTTGTGTGTCTATCAGCTTCTTGTTTTTGCTCGCAGAGTATCATGTTCGAAATTTTTGCGCGGTGGGTTATGTAGTAAGTGATGGGAACTTATATGGTTTGGAACAGCTTGGGCGTGCTTCTAAGGCAGTTTTTACGTTTTCAATCAATCATTACCTATTAGTCGACAGCGGTGTATATATTTTACACTTAGAAAAATACATCGCTGGTCAGCACAACTCGATATATCAGCGTTAAAAGAAACGAAATCCGGAGTTGTTCAAGGAAGGGTTGTGGGGCCAATATTTTTCGCAAGCCCTAGGTATAAAAATTTGACGATGTCATTGCAATCCAACTAGTGTCAGTGATGCCACTTGTCAGCTACAAGATGCTCTTGTTCTGTCGATGCATGTGCAAGGTGCTAGGACGCAGCTCAAATTGATCAAAATACAATATGCTCGCGTAAGCTCTACAAGCTCTACAGGAAAGTCAACAACCTACTACTAAAGATTTTTGGTTCAAAAGGAAAGTGGATTCGAGCAGAAAATAGGACAGGTAACAGCGATACGCTGGTTGGCTTCATCAAGCCCGAAATCAATGCACATATGCAACCACAAATGTAGATACAGATGTCCATGCATCCGGATACGGGTGTAACCTGACGAAACGAAGATTGAGAGGCAAAAAAATTACACATGAAGTCCCCAACACTAGCCAACCTACACATTGTAATATAAAATGGCTAGAAGATCTCGAATTTTCAAGGCGACATCTAACCACAACCACGCGGTGGGCTATAGCCACTTGCTGTGGTACTTCAAGCCCAAAGGATCTACAAAGCGACAATAATCATGCGGATAAAGGTATATGACACGAAATAGGAAAATAATGGGCAAAATGTGCAAAAAGGAAAAGTGCATTCTAGCAAAAAATAGGATAGGTAACTCGAGCAATACGTATTTCTGCTTGTTGGCTTCCACCACTTGACTGAACGTATGTCCTAAAAGTTTTGGCACAAAATATCCAATTTAATGAAGACATTTATTCAAACACTAACTAGTTATCATAAATTACAGCTTAATACTTAACTAAATTATACTATCGAATTATGTGGAGTGGCCCATTCTGCTATACCAGACGTAACTTTCTTCGAGTGTCTCGCATGAGGTCCTGGATGGAATTCAGATCAATTTCTCTCAGTTTTTCGTGAATTCGACGTCTTAATTGTACTTCATCTTGGGCTTCTAAGCCTCCATGATAAATCTTCCTAGACAGTAAAGCCAAAAAACCCTCAATTCGGCGGGTCTGCGGCATGTTTGGAGGATTATAAGGTATGTTGTGTTGTGGAAACCAGTTTTGGGTAGTCTTGAGTAATGGCATGATATGGTCATTAGCAAGATGTTCGTGGGCAAATTGAAGCAATTGGGAAAGGCAGTTATCATTATAACTCCGACCATTCAAAGCTTCATCCCTCACTCTTCCCACAAAACGTTGGGATACACCCCTGTTAGAAATTGCACACCTTATGAGAATTTTATCTGCAAATTCCGCTTTATGTTTGTATCTAACATCGTCAGGGCATACCTCTACGTGGTCCGTATAAAATCCGTCGCGTCCTTTCATTTCAGAATTACAAAGTGAAATACTTTTCGTCATCTAAAATAATGATGTTTCCATTGGCAAAGTGTACCCGCCACAGTTGACGACAGCATCTTGCTATACAAAGGAGTTGCGCTTGAGAGTATGTGGGCCACTTAAGTCCCTTTCGATATGTAAGACCATTCCTCCTCAATTCCAACGGTATCGTACTCTCAGAAGATCTGTATTGACAGGCTAGTATCCTTGTTGACATTCCAACCTGACTTTTTGCTCTTCTCACCAATCTCGCTGACCTCTGTGCAGTAAATGCACGTGGTCGTCTATTTTTTTGCAGATTCAAACAAGGTATTCCCTGCTCGCACTCCGCTATTGTTCGATGAATGGTTCTGCGTGAAATGTTTCCATTCTGGAATATTCGACAGATTTCAGCTTTGGGTACTCGCCCAACCAACTTGTAGGTACTTCTCTTATTTCTAATTTATACATCTTGAAGCGAAAATAAATAAATGTGAACTGACAGTAAAGTAAGTAAACAAACTTTTGTTTCCAAATGCAACATGATATTACGTTGTGTTTATTAAAATTAAAGCCAACGAATTTGGAGTTAAAACTTTTAGGATATACGTTACCTGTTAGCGTGGATTAATACACAGAGCAAGGTTAGAATTTTAAAAGTCCTAAATGAATATTCGCAAGTAGTGTGCCTTCCCCCTTTAGCGATTGTTCGAACAGCCCTTATTTGTAATACAAAAAGTATTTGCGACTTGGATGATGCTCCCCATGGCTCGATTCCGTAAGTCAGAACTGAATGGATATGTACGTGGCAAAATATAATTAATATCCATTTCTCCACAATAAAACTCAACTGGTACACTCAGTAGCTAGGTGAGGCGATATTCTGGCTAACATTCTCAATATGAGTATCTCGTTTAAAATTTTGTGATACATATATGCCTAAAAATTTATGTCGACCCAATTTACCAGGGATTTTAATAGTAATATGTGATATATCGGTGAACTGGAAAGATTGAATCTAAGGGAAACGTATTTCTTATTATTTTAACTCGAATAATTTTTTGGACGCCGAAATACAGTCAACGTTGACTTTCTTTAGGTAGAATATGTTATTCAATAATTTAACCCAATTTTATCGACATGTCTTCTAGTTCGTGACCACTAAACAATCGGTTACAGTATCAAAGAGCATACGAACAAATAATACCGTGTTCAGTCCCCAGTATCGTTCTTCGCGGATCTGACCTACCGCAATGTGTGGTCTGGCGTGTTGGTACACGGCAATGTACAGGGCGTGTCAATACCACAGACCGACCAATAACTAACCAACTGGACGTTAATTAGTCCTAGATCAACTGATTAATTAAAATGATCAATTAAGTAGTGATTTAGTGGCTTAGTATGCACTACGACCGCTTGGTGCATACCCTGGTGCATACCTATATGGCGCACTTCCTAATAAGACTTTGCGTATCTTCCATCTTGGGGACATGGTGATTTAGAGGTGTATGTGACTGACTCTGTACAGGCCCCTGATCTTTACTACCAGATAATATACAGGATATTCCACGAATTTATGCATCGATAGATCGATTACTTGAAGAGTATGCGCTAGACAATTAGGAATGTCCCTATAGCCACTTGCATAAAATACTGTAACTGATATATTGCACAAATCTGAAAGAGTTAGTCCGATAACTTAAAATTTAAGGAAGTTATGACGTAAGTTCGGTTTCTGGGCCACGTCTCAGACCTTGCCGGAGGACGTGACGGCCCTCGCATATCGTATTCAACCTTAGCGCTCAATCTGACCATTCGCAATATATTGTTTGTATCTTGACATAGACTGCTGTGCGATATTATATAAATCCATTTGTCAATGATCAAAATTAGGGA